GTCCCCACCTATTGAACCACTCATGGGGCCAGCAATAGGTAGAGCAAGATCTTGTGATTGACCCTGCCTGGAATTGAGTCCACCTTGTGGCCAGGGAGAAGTGATCCATTATCAGAAGAATGGACTGTTGTATAGACATGGGTGCTGAAGAAATCAAGAGCTGTAATTTATGTCTCCCTTAAGTGAAAACACTTCCAAATTCCATTATTGAAAAAAAAATGAAGTAATATTTCATAGTCACTGCTGATTCCAGAGAGGCCTAAATTTCCCATTAACCATGACTGCTGGAGCTTCTAAGTGGGTGAAGAGGATCCTAAGAACCCCATGACCTGTTCGAATGGCCTAGGAATCCACCAAAAGCATGATTACTGTCAGCCTAGGCTAAATTCTTCCATAGAGACCTAGCTGTGTGCACCAGGGAACTTGCTTGGACTCTTCCTTACACACCTGTCATCCAAATTCACCACGCAAGTAAAAACCCTGAACATCTGCCTTCACCTGTATTCTCATTCCCATTCTGCTTTGGGACTGCTCTCCCATCTCTTCTCCTGTCTCCACTCCCTCCCATGTTTATTCACTAATTTCACTAGTTTGTTTCACAAAATAAATGCCCCCAGATGTCTGATCCAATCACAGAATGTTCCTTCTACTTCTTTGGGACTTGTTCCAAAAGACCTGATTCTCCTTCAGCCTCACAAGAAGACTCACTCTACCACATTGAGTAGCTCAGTCAGGATGCAGGATCGGACTTCAGATCATTGCTTTCTTACCTTTATTCTTTGAGAGGAGTGATGTGTCCGATTTATTCATAATTATGTTAGCAATTATCACTGAAGTGCTGTTTTTCTATTATTTGTCTCATCATTAGGCTGTTATCATTTAAGAGCTGGACTGTAACCTTGGACATAATAGTTTCTTGGTATGCGAACTGAATGAGTGAATAAATGAGCAAATGAATGAAGTATGAACTAAAGATAATGGCTTTGGTATCAAAAAGACCTGGGTTTGCACAATAGAATACTACTTAGCCATAAAAAGGAGAAAATTTTACCCTTTGCAATAGTATGGATGGACCTGGAGAACATTATGTTAAGTGAAATAAGCCAGGCAGAGAAAGACAAATACCATATGATTTCACTCATATGTGTAATCTGATGAACAAACTGAACTAAGAAGGAAAATGGGGACAGACTCATGGATGGAGAGCAGGATGACAGCTAGCTGGGGTGAGGCGGGGGGGGGAGGTTAAAGGATAGAAGGATTGAGCAAAAAGGAAAAAAAGACTCATGGACAAGGACAACAGTGTGCTGACTGCTGGGGAGAGGCACGTACAAGGGGACTAAAAGGTAATGTAAGAAATGGAATAAAGATTAAATAAAGAAAAGAAAGAGAAAAGATCTGGGCTTGCATCTGGCTCTATCACCTACTCTCTGGATGAGCTGGAGCAAATTGCTTAATCTTTCTGCACTATAGTTTCTTTGTTCCCTGTAAACCTAAAATGTGGGTAATGGTGCATATCTTTCAAAAAGATTGTTATAGTTAAATGAGAGAAGATGTACAAATGCCTAGTACTGTGTAGGATATATAGAAGAACTCTAATAGTAGTTTTTGAAAAAAAAGAATCATTGCGGGTATGACTCAGTGGTTGGAATGTTGTCCTGTGCCCCGAAAGGCTGCGGGTTCCATTCCCAGCCAGGGCACGTGCCTAGGCAGTGGATAAAAATAAAATTAAATTAAAAAAGAGATAGACATTAAAAGATCTAAAGGCAAGTAGAGGGGACTCACTGGTCACCAGTAGGGAGAACACTGACCAAGGTTTATTCACAGGGACCTCTGGGAAGGGAATAAACTGGTTACTTTGGAGCTCAAAAGTAGCTGAGAAAAAATGGTAGAACAAAGGGAACAACCTGGTAGAGAGGCACTTTTGGTAGAGAGGACCCCAAAGTCATCACTGCTAAACTATAAGTTCTTTGAAGAGTCATGGTATCCAGTTTATTAATGTATACTTTGCATCTAGCCCCCCTCAGTACATTGCAAATGTTTGTTGATAAATCAATAAGTAAATATTGATTAGAATCTTGTGAGATTCTTAGCCTTAACAAGAGATCTATGATTTAATGTTATTTAAAATAATTTAAACAGAAGAAATATAAAGTGATTTAAACGTGGAAACTCTGTTTAATCAACAAATAACACTTGAGCATCCACTATATGCAAGGCACTTAGGCAGAAGGAGGAGGGAAAACATCCATAGTTCATCCTTAAGAAACTGCTGATAAAATTTTGAATATTTCCCCAGGCTTCTTCTTTTTATTTTTCATATATTCTGCGAATTCACTAAACTATATCAGACCATATAAGGTAATCAGCATATAAAATTTTCAATTATGTCTGACCCTTCTACTTAAGAGGACTATTCTAATTTTCTAGTCACTTGCCTCAACTTGACAAGTTCCATTTCAGTCTATAAAGTTGAAATTCAAGGAAAAGTGAAGAAGGGAAAAGTTACAAATATATTTATTTTTTTTAAAGATTTTAATTTTTTATTTTAGACAGAGGGGATGGGAGGAAGAAAGAGAAGGAGTGAAACATCAATGTGCGGTTGCCTCTCACGCACCCCCTACTGGGGGACTTGGTCTGCAACCCAGGCATGTGCCCTGACAGGGAATTGAACTAGTGACCCTTTGGTTCGCAGGCAGGTGCTCAGCCCACTGAGCCACAGCAACCAGGGCACAAATATGTTTCATTCACAGCTTTTTAAAGCCTCCGGAACCCACTTTCATAAAACCGCCATATTTTTATAATTTCAGTTCAGGAAATGTTCTCAGTCCTCAACCTTGCTTTTCCTCTGGAAACAAGAGATTTGGGGTTTGGGACATGACAGCCTGACCTTTGAGACCAAAGGGGAATCTGAAACTATTCTCAGATCTGTTTTGCTCCCAGTGAAATCTGAACCATAAAAAATCCATTCAACATCTATACTAACACCCGGGCCTTTTCCTTATCATTTTGACTTGAGAGATAAAATCTGACACCAGAGACAGTGATCAGATCACAGGAATTGTAAACATTCTATGTTTAGCTTTCATAGCATTAAGATCATTCAGTTTTCTTCCTAACATAAGCATTTCCATGCCATTAAATTGCCTGTAAACAAGTTTAATGGCTGAATAATGTTATGTGAAAATATCATAATTTTCTTAATATTTTCTCTTGGGACATTTATTTAGGTTTTCAACTTTAGTTGTTATAAAGCACACTACAATGAAAAACTTTGTGTAAAACTTTTTCTTTCAGATAATATTCTGAGCAAAGATCTCTCCAGAAGGGCAATCATTAGTCAAAAAAAAAAACCAAAACATAAAAATGTTTTAAGTTCTCAGTACATGTTGTCATCTGACATTCATCAAGAGTATAAGACAATACCTAGCTCACTCTACCTTTGCCAGTCCTGAAAATACTACTTGAAATCTAATTTTATCTTGTATTTATTGGATCATTGATGGGGTTCAATTCTTTACCCTTTCTGTCCCTTTATCTGTGAATCTAATTGTTGATTTCTCTTGTGAGATGTTAAATAGCTTTATTGGTTTTCACAGGCTCTCTATAAAAATAAAAATCTGCTGTCTGTTTTATTTATGGTGGATAATTTCTCAAGTTGGTTTTTGCTTTCAACGCACATTTATCTGAGTTTTCCCAATGTGTCAGGCACTGGTCTAGTCATCATGGATAAAACACATGCAGTCTCTACTCCTAATGATCTCAGGGTTGAATAGGGGGAGGCAGGCACATAAACAGTGAGTGCAGTAAGGTTTTGACACATTCAATTAGAAGTACAAACAGGCTGCACTGTATGCACTAAAAGAGGTAAGCAGTCAATTCTACATATCAACTCTACATATTGGGGCCAGGAAAGGCTTCACAGAGACCATTCTTAACTGTCAAATACTGAACAAACTACTAGAGAGTAACAAGGAACAAGGAAGGCAAAGCATTCCAGGCAAAGGGAACCTACAGACAGGGGCAGAGAGCTGGTTGGTTAAGGGAACTCCAGTGGTTGGTTTGGGCTGGGGAGTAAAACGTCAGGCAAGTCCAAAGGAAGGAGAGACTGGAACGATCTCAGAGGTCACGTAATATTTAAAACTATACACAACTTTAGATGTTCAACAAAGTCTAAGTAAACTTTTCCTTACTCATCTTTTACATAATGTTTAAGCTAAGAAGGTCCTTCCTAACCCAGAACTTTTATGGTTACCTTTATTTTCTTCTGGTTTCCACTTAATACTTTGATTTTTACTCTTTACATTTAACTATTTAATTCATCTGGAATGGATTTTGTTATATGAATGGTAAATTTCAGTTGGATATTTTGTCCTGTTTTAATGTTTATCATATCTACATCATTAAGTTTTCTTCTAAAACCTTATTTTGGTAAGGGTAAAAACAGGGAGTGAGGGAGTGATGAATATCTAATAAAGAGTATTTATTCACACCTGGGGACAATGCTATGGAGAACAACAGCAAAAAAATCCATTGCAATTTGCTCTTTTACTGAACTGTGCCAAATACTACAGATGCAAACTCATAGCCATTCAGGGTCCTGGCTCTCAGAGTCCCACTGCTACTTGGAATTTATAGGTTGCAGGTTTTTAAGGAGCCAGCTGTGTTTCCAAAGACAGTAATTTATCCTAATGACAGCTGAAGTGTAGCGAGGAAGGAAGAATAGGCACAGCCAGCTTGATTTATTTAGTCTTACCAGAAATTAGATGGAGTCAAGTTTTCTGCCCCGGCGCTGGCTGGAAAACAAATGGGGTGGGTTGGGGGGCGCGGCGGAGGCGGGGGGCAGAATCTGTGCAGTGAAGCCCCGGCGCCCGGCTGTGAGCTGAGAGCTGTGATTGGTTAGAAAGGCAAGCATAACGTGACAGGATTGGTTCTAGGCTCTTCCAGCTGTTGTTACTTCAAAGCATTCTGAAGGCCTGTCCACCAATCACAGGGCTCCTTACTGGAAGAAGCAGCGTCTGGACATTGCCAGGGGTCCCTAGCAACACTGCGGCTTTTGAAATCTGAGGGGGAAAGACTGTGGAGTCAGCGGGTAGTGGAAAAGCTCCGGTGCCTGAGGATGAGCAGGGTCTCGGGATGGATGGACACGCCACCCTCTGAAGAACACGTAGATTCGCAAAACAAAAAACTGGAAAACCAAGAAGAGGAGATGGGATTTAAGGAACTGGACGGTCTGAGGGAAGCCTTGGCAAACCTCCGGGGACTGTCGGACGAGGAGAAGAGTGAGAAGGCGAGGCTTTGCTCCCGCATCCACGAGCAGTCCCAGCTCATCTGCATCCTGAAACGGAGGTCCGATGAGGCTCTGGAGCGCTGTCAGGTGCTGGAACTGCTCAACGCAGAGCTGGAGGAGAAGAGGATGCTGGAGACCGAGAAGCTAAAGGCCAAGAGTGAGCTTGCCCAGAAGCTGGAGGAACGCTTTATGACCCTGGCAGCCAACCACGAGTTGATGATCCGCTTCAAGGACGAACACAAGAGTCAGAACATCAAGCTGAGAGAGGAGAATGAGAAGCTGAGGCTGGAGAACAGCAACCTCTTCAGCCAAGCTCTGAAGGACAAGGAGACTAAAGTCCTGCAGCTCGCCGCCCGAAGCAAGGCCCTGGCCGAAGAGCTGCAGACTCTGAAGGAGAGGTACGACCAGGAGGCCATCAGGGCACAGGCCCGAGAGAAGGAGCTGCTGGAGCTGCAGAGCAAGCAGGCACGCGCCCACGCCAAGGAGACGGAGCAGCTGCGCAGCCAGCTGCAGAGCCTCAAGCAGCAGCACCAGGAGGCCACATCGCAGATGGCAAAGGCCGAGCAGGCCCACAGCAGCCTGAGCCAGGAGCTGCAGGCCAGGCTGCAGATGGTCACCCGGGAGAAAGAGGAGCTGCTGCAGCTGTCCATGGAGAGGGGCAAGGTGCTTCAGAGCAAGCAAGCAGAAATCCGCCAGCTTGAGGAGAAGTTGGAGACAGCAGATGTGGCCAGGAGACAAGCACTAGAGCGGTTTGAGCAAGAGGCGGTGGCTGTGGACAGTAACTTGAGAGTCCGGGAACTTCAGCGCAGGGTAGATGGGATCCAGAAGGCCTACGACGAGCTCAGGCTACAGTCAGAAGCCTTCAAAAAGCACAGCCTGGATCTTTTAAGCAAGGAGAGGGAACTCAATGCAAAACTCCGCCATCTCTTCCCATAAGGAAGCTTCTGCTTCCTCTGGCCTCCAATGCAGAAATCAAATATTTGTGCCTTAGCATTATGGCAAGAGTAAAGATGGTTTTGCATTTTTTAAAAATATTTTTAAGCACAAAAAGCACCTCAAAGAAAAGCTATTTTACTATGATATTGTTGTTGTTGACTTGTAAGGCTAATACTGTTTCAGTCATACCACTTAGAATACGTGTCATTTACTAGATTGTGTTCTGTGCCTTTGAAATCTTCCTAAGTGTGCTATCAGTATCTCTACCTCTCCCATAATATACTATTTATTCTTAACCTCAGATATTTTCATATGGCCTATGATTTTAAATTAGCATCTCCTATAGATTTAAGTAAATAAATATTAAATGTGCAATCAGATGTGCTATTGTGAAAAAAATTAGTATAATAAGCCCTTGCAGATAGGTAGGTTTTTAGTCTCCTATAGTTGAGATGGTAAGCTTTAACTGTGAACAACATAATAATAGCATGATCAACTTGCAGAAAGTGTCTGATTTTGCAACAGGCCTAACAATTGCTTGCATCACTAGCTTTACAACAGTTTTCTTTTTATTTTATTCGCACCAGTTTGGAAAACACAGATTGACATCATTAAGCAAATTTTATTGTAGTCCTTCTGTATTAGCAATAAGATTCAGATAAGTGCAATCAACTAGTTTTGATTTTTTTCTTGTGAACTTAGATCGCATTCCATTTTCTTGGCTTTTGTTTCCTTAATAAAAACAGGATTTAGAGATACAAGAAGGCAAAAATATCAGCAGTTTCATCTAATAGTGTTGACTACTTACAGAAGGCCCCAATTTGGGATAACAAATCATAGCAGACTGGATAGATACATATAGAAACTAATAGTGATTCTTTTGTTTTTATTAGCACAAGGGGTTTTTTGCAATTAGCTTTTTCCTTTTTTGAAACTTCTAAACAGAATGTGTATATGTGTACTTAAGCATTTTTGTAGGAATACTAAATATGTAGTTATAAGAACAAAATAGTTATATATTTATACAAATATATATAAATATATTATATTTATATTATAAATATAATATAAGAGGTAGTTATTAAAGTACACTTTATGCTCCCTTATTTCCCTGTATTTAGTTGATATATAAACAGTATTAAAAATACCTCTCAAAACAAATTGTAACGTAGTGTGTTTCTCACATATTTGATGTCAGGAGTGCCAAGAGTTACCTAATGCTTGGGACTTATTAAAAAAGATTACTTGGTACCTTCTTTGTTTTATTTTATTTCATTTTTTACTTTTTTGTAAATTTTTAAATATATTTGATTGGTTATGCTATTACAGTTGTCCCATTTTTTTCTCACCTTTATTCCCCTCTGTCCTGTACCCCTCTCCCACCATCATTCCCCCACCTTAGTTCATGTCCATGGGTCATAAATATAAGTTCTTTGGCTTCTCCATTTCCCATACTATTCTCACTTCCCCCTGTCTATTTTGTACTATTTTGTACCTACTATTTATGCTTCTTATTCCCTGTACCTTTCCCCCCATTCTCCCCTCTCCCCCTCCCCACTGAGAAACTTCCATGTGATCTCCATTTCTGTGAATCTGTTCCTGTTCTAGTTGTTTGTTTATTTCATTTTTGTTTTTTTAGGTTCAGTTGTAGATAGTTGTGAGTTTGTTGTCATTTTACTGTTGGTATTTTTGGTCTTCTTCTTTTTCTTAAATAAGTCCTTTTAACCTTTCATATAAAAAGGGCTTGGTGATGATGAACTCCTTGAACTTGACCTTATCCGGGAAGCACGTTATCTGCCACTCCATTCTAAAAGCTTTGCTGGGTAAAGTAATCTTCAATGTAGGTCCTTACCTTTCATGTCTTGGAATACTTCTTTCCAGCTCCTTCTTGCCTGCCAGGTTTCTTGTGAGAAATCAGGTGAGAGTGTTATGGGAAGTCCTTTGTAAGTAACTGTCTCTTTTTCTCTTGCTGCTTTTAAGATTCTCTCCTTATCTTTAATCTTGGGTAATGTAATTATGATGTGCCTTGGTGCATGCTTCCTCCAAGTTCTTTGGGACTCTCTGAACTTCCTGGACTTCCTGGAATTCTTATTTCCTTCAACAGATTAGGGAAGTTCTCCTTCATTATGTTTTCAAATAAGTTTCCTATTTCTTGCTAAACCTCTCCTTCTGGCACTCCTATGATTCAGATGTTGGAATGTTTAAAGTTGTCCTGTAGGTTCCTAAGCCTGTCCTCATTTTTTTGAATTCTTGTTTCTTCATTCTGTTCTGGTTGAATGTTTATTTCTCCCTTCTGCTCCAATCCATTTATTTGAGTACTGCTTTCCTTCCCTTCACTGTTGGTTCCCTGTACATTTTCCTTAATTTCACTTTTTATAGCCTTTACTTTTTCTCTGTTTTGCAACCACACTCAAACATTTCTGTGAGTATCTTGATTACCAGTGTTTTTAACCATGCCTCTGATAGGTTGGCTATATCTTTATCACTTAGTTGTATTTTTTCTAGAGCTTTGATCTATTCTTTCATTTGAGCCATATTTTTTGTTTTTGTTTGCCTGTTATGTACTAAGGAGCAGAGCCTTAGGTATTTACCAGGGTGGGGCAACCAACATGTGGCTGCATTGTGGTGGTGTATGTGAGGGAGGGGTCTGAGAGGGAACAATGCCATTCCCTCAGCACTTGGCCAGCTTTCAGTAACTTTCTCTGCTACCCACAAGCCAGTTGGGCCTTTCTGGTGCTGATTCCCAGGTGGGTGGTCTTGTGTGCCTTCTAGGACCCTGTGGGTCTCTCTGATGAACTCTCCTGTGAGGCTGGAGTTTCTCCTGCCACCTGAACCCCCACAGGTTTTTTCAGTCAGAGGTTTTGAGGCTTAATTTCCCCACAGAGGAACCCTGGGTTGTGAGGGCTGTGTCACTCCCCAGTTGTTCCTCTTAATTTATCCACATGCACATGTGGGACCAGCCGCTACCTAGCCCACCCTGGTCCTACAGCCACCTGAGTCCTCTCCACCCTGGTTGCCTGTCTCTGGCCCTCCTGCTGGTCTGGATGAATGTTTCTTCTTTAACTCCTTGGTTGTTGGACTTCTACACAGTTTGATTTTCTGGCAGTTCTGGTTATTTTTGTTTTTAAATTTGTTGTCCTTCTTTTGGTTGTGCGAGGAGGCAAAGTGTATTTACCTATACCTCCATTTTGGCTGGAAGTTCCTTTCTTTGTAAATTTTTAATTGTATTTTTTCCATTACCATTTAGTCCTTTTATTTAATAAACAATTTTCAAGTTCCATCTTACCTCAGGCATCTTTTAAAACCTATTTTCTCACAGTTTTATCACAATTGAGATATTTAATACAGATCTCAGGGAACTACATCAGTGACTTTGGAAGGACTATTTACCTCCTCTTACATGTTACCAAGGATGAGAATATAGGGGATAACTTTATAATGGTTATCTTCTATTAAGCCCATACTATTTGTCATTATGATGAAGCTCTTGAAATAGATCATTTTACTTTATCCTTAGGTAGGGCCATTCAAGAAGGTAATTATGTTCAGTTGTATTTCAAAGAAGAGGAAACCAGGATTTAGTAATTTGCCCAAAACCACCTAGTCACTGAAGGAGCTGGGATTTTGATGGTACTACCACACTGAATGATTTGTGGATTGTCCACCGAGTGCCATGCTCTAGGGGTAGGCACTGAGAATGAGCATGAAGTAGTACGTTTTCTACCCTGGAAGAGCTCCCACACACTTTAGGCTATGGACAAAAAAGCAATTACATACAGCGTGTTTCCATAGGGGGTGTTGTGAGATACCAGTGGATAATGCCAGCTCCTCCCCACCTACACACAAACACACAGAGTAGCTAACTCTGCCTCAGGGTAAGGGTTGGATGGTTGAGAGGATGTTCAAAGATCACTAATACTGGAGTTGATATACAAGCTGGTTGTTAAATAGCTAGTAGAATTTCATCAGGTAGAGAAAAAACAGAAATGTTTGAGATAGCATCATGTAGAAAGTCATGGAGGTTTTTAAAAAATGTCCAGAATACTTGTGGAAATCATAAGTATTTGGGAGGAGGTACAGAGAAGCATGTCTACAGATAGAACAGTAAGAGAAGGTTGTGGGCGTCATATAGATGGCCTCAAAATCCAGGCTGGCCCCTTATATTGGGGGGACAGAGGGTGAATGGTGAGGGACAAGTGTACAAATAAGGGCCACAAGCCAGCCCTCCTCTTCCCACACAGGTTCAGGAGGCTCTGCCAGGGGCCTGGTGTGCATGCTGCCGGCATCCCGTTGTCCCTCCCTACCCCCCACAGCTGCCTGTCCGGGCTCTACCCACTTGTCCCAGTCAGCCTTCTGCTGGTGGTCTCTCCAGCTCCAGTTTTGTCCTCAGCCTTTGGGAAGGAAGAGGCTGCTTTTGGTCAAAGGCCAAGCAGGTCCTGGAAGAGGGCTTAGACTAAGAAAGTAAAAGAAGTGTGAACCTATGATGTGTCAAGTGCTTTTCATGTCACCTTCATATCACCCCTTCAGGGAGGTTCAGTTTTCACTATTTTACAGATGAAAAAAAAGTGAGACTGAGAAGGTGACTTGCCCAGGGAACTTCGGGGTTGGCACGAGTGTGGTTTGGACCCAAGCCACTCTGGCAGAGTCGGCTGCATGGGTATACCACCTGCTTTAGTGTTCCACTGTTGCTGCCTTGAGATTCTTAATCATTGTGTGAGGAGGGGCTTGACAATTTCATATCCTGCTGAGCGCTGCAGTTTATGTAGCTGGACCTCCTTTCTGGCTCTAAAACCCATGCTCTTCCCTTCCCCCACCATTATACAAACTACCTTCTAACTAGCCGCAAAATGACTTGTCTCTTTGTGCCTCACAGCACTTTGTATCCCATGCTCTCAGTGCTTAATTTGTACTAGTCTGTGACCTGGAGCCAAATTCCAGGATGAGCAACTAGTTTATTGTGGTATGCTGTTGTATAAGATGATCTTATCACTGAAACAAACTGGCAAAATGTCAATGGACTGTGGCCATGGCACAGTCATGTGCCATGGCTACTGCCCTTGAAGGGAAATTTAAAAAACAAAACTGCTTTATAAAGCAACCTGTAGCCCTAGTAAATTTTCTGCAATATTCCACTAGCAGTAGCTCTAATATGAAAGTCAGCAGACAGAGATTCTAAAGTCAAATAATGTGTGAGTAGCACTGTGTGGCTGATAAGTGTGATCTTTTGTGTTACCTATTCAAGGTACTGTGAGCCCTTCACTGTGCCTCTAAGGAACTCGTCTGCTTCCAAAAAAAATCATGGAAAAGAGCTAGAAAAGGAATGAGAGCTATAGGAAAAGTGAACTGACTGTATGATGTTCTCATAATAGTGGCTGTATTTCAGTTAGTAAAAATTAATTTGTTTCTAGTAAGCAAAGTAGTAACAGAAACTCTATTTCTCCCCAACTTCACTGTATTAAAACAAAATAATAATTTAAAGAAGATTGTTTGAAGGAGCACCTTCCAAGGGGCTTGCTCTTCTGTCCAGCCCTCATTCACTGAGATACCTGTAGAGTCGCTATGGCTGGGTCAGTGCAGGAATGATTCTCTGCTTTCAACTTGGGCAAGCCCGAAAGAACCTGGCAGACATTTGACATACTACATCTTGGCACGTGAATAAAGGAAAAAAAATCGTGACCCTAACTGCTCTCCCAAAGCTGCCCCTGCCCTTCCAGGTGACTTGTCTTCCATTGTCATTGGCCAACATCCAGCCATATGCAAACACCTCAAGCATCTTCATGGGGACTGTTGCCACCATGACTAACCTGGGCCAGTCAGGATCTGCCCCTGCATGGGAACAAGGCCAGTTTATGCCACAGAGTGGAAGGGGCTCTCTGACAAAGGCAGGGTTGGCTGCCGGCAGTGTCTGTTATACCACACCTAGTTACATTGACAAGGCCTTATCAGGCTAGGAGTATTTTTTTTTAACTTGGACTCCTAAACTGTAGAAATTTTGGGAGGTGGCCAAGAATGGGCATGTTCTGATTATTTTTCTATCTCCCTAAAGACAAACTGGAGGTTATTTGCCAAACACTAAAAACATCTTATTAAATTTAAGAGCTTAGATACAG